TGCACACACACACACACACACACACACACACAGATGCACAGCCAAGGTCTGGCTGTCCTACTCTCTCCCTCTGTCTCTCCCCAGCTATCTCTCTATCTGCATTTCCTCTCTTTATTATCATTAGTGACATGTGATGGATGAATAGAGGAAAACAGGAGCATTGCATCCTGGGACAGCAAAGGAAACAACTGCACACCCAGACTGTCGCAGTCTGCACTCACGTATGGGGTTGCCTGCATATCATCCTGTTTGTGTGTGTGTATGTGTGTGTATGTGTGTGTGTGTGTGTGTGATAAGGTGATACAGTTTTGTAGTCAGAACTGTTGTCTGTTTGTTTTTTTGGGAAACGTACAGATAACTGTAAATGATCAATGTACTGAATGTACACACAAACTGACAAATATTAAAGTTTCCTCTTCCTCCTCAGTATGCATTATATTTGACACGGAGTGACTTCGTGGTAAACGGTGGATACTGTACTGAAGTATTTATACTGTAGACTCTGATTTATTCCAATGTTGGTAAAACAGTATTCCAATCAATGGTTTAAGGAGCATACGTTTGAATTATCGTTGACACAAAATAAAAATACTGATGGAACCTGCATTTGTGGACAGCTCTGTTTGAGAACTGTTTCTCCTCTTGGAGTACACACTGATGCAGTATTTAGTTGATGATGAAGAAGCAGATTCATCGTACCCTCAGTTTTATCTTTGTTAAACAGGTCCTGTTGTAATATCTTTTGAAGGAGTTCCTGCAGTGTAGTAACACCCAGACTCCCACTCACATCTTTGGCAGCTACTGTTAGGAGACTGGCCAAGATTCCAGCTGAGTTACCATGGCTTATCTTCCCAAACCAAGTGTGAGACTTCTCCAGTAGCAGCTAACCACAATCCTGGCTTTGTTTTGTGCATTTACGTGCACATACTGTGGTGTGTGTGTGTGTGTGAGTGTGTGCGTGCATGTGTGCTCCATTCTATCTGTAGTGGTCACTCTGTTTTTGCAGTCTCTCTCTCTCTCTCTCTCGGTTTCCTGTCTAGAACAGTCACATTTTGCCACATCAAAATCTTCAGTAAATCCATTAAACTGTGAATTATGTATCTGTTTTAATAAATACAAACGTTAATGTTTACTGACTCAAACGTCACGTGACCCAGGTTTCTAATTAGCAACCTACTAATTAGCATCGTTGAACTCTAACGTTTTATTTAGTAAAACACATTAAAACGGTTTTAGTTTATTTCAGATATCGCTTCACTATTTGTAATATTTAAAACTCCGATAGCGCTGTAAATGCTATTATATTTAGTGTGTTGCTGCCCTCTTGTGATAGTATAGTATACTGCACAACCTATTCAAATGCGATGATTGATTGATTGATGCGATGAACTGTGAAGAATGCATCGAATGGTGTACAAATATAACACATCATTTTGGATTTGATATCCAAAGTCATTCTGGGAAAAGGAAAATAAATTGTGGGAAATATTCTTCATTGTTCTTCCATAATTTTTACTGAAGTTGCTTTTAGGCAGCAGTGACAGCTGTTACAAATTGTAGAGATATTAATGAGATGCTTTACTGATGTCTGTTGTTTGACTAATGTTGGGTTTTTCAAATGGCCACTATTTGATTAAAGTCATATATGTGCAGGAATAACTCCCTACACTAACCCTGCACTACCCTACATATAACTGCCACTTTACCACCTAAAAAAACATAATAAGTGTAAACTATAATAAATCATGTCATAAGTCATCAAAGCAATGTGTTTAACATGCATTACAAATAACACGATTTAACCTTATTTAAGTATTTTCATTTAATTAAAGATTTAACACAAACAATATAAACTAAATATCATATATAGGCAAGTGAGGCATAAAAACCTTTGGTTCAGCTCTGTCTATAATGCTGCTGTATATGTCACTTCTTCTCTGACATCCAGGCTTCTAAAGTTAAATCACATTTGTTTAAAAGCAAAGATCAAAGGACAGTGATGTCATAAATCATGACACCTCTGGCACGATCCATGTTTTTATGTAATGTAACGTAACACAGTAATCTTATACATTCAGGATTTTTTTCGACGGAAGCCAAAGAAACCAAAGGGCAGTCGGGCAACCCTTCTGGATGCCAACTGCCAATGACCACCTCTGACTTACCTGCTACATACAGTGAAACAGCTGTGATAAGCATTCAATTATGCAATTGAGAAGAACGCACAAGAGCAAGTCAGGTCAACAATGTCTAAAGACTTATGCCGCCTTACCTTCCGCATCTACACCTACAAGGACTTGCTTGATTTCTATGAAGCAAATTACAAAAAGAGCAGAGGGAAGGATGACAAAACACAGGCTGCCAAGGCACATCCTCACCCCCACAACTACAGCTACAGAGAGCTGCTGGATTTCTACCTGACATACTATCTGCTACAAGACTCCAATGGCCTTACGATAGAAACTCTGGAGGAAAAGATCGAGAGTCTGAAGAAGGATGTGGAAATAGGCAGGCAGAGGGAGGACGAACTCAAAGAGAGACTGTATGAAAGCAAAAAGGAGTACCAAGAGCTGGCTCTGGACAGAGCTGTCCTTAAGGACAACCTTCATGACAGGATTTCTGAAAATCAAAAGATTACTCTGGACAAAGAAAACCTACAACAGAATCTTAACGTTTTAAAGTCTCTGTACAACAGTAGCCTGCAGGAGAAGCATCACCTGGCTGTAGACAACAATAGCCTGAAGGATACGCATCATGAAGTCAGCGAGAAAATAGAACAACTCAATCGCGATAAGAAGAATTTACAGGTGAGTCTCCAAGCGTGCCTGGAGGAGAATCAACAACTTAAGCTCGAGAAACAGAAAGCCGTAGATGACCTAAGTCAGCTGTCAGAAGATCACCAGAAGGAGTTGGAAATAACCCATGCACACTACAAAAGCTTATTTTCAGAGAATAAAAAACTGACAGATTTCCTGCAAACTATTGAATTGCAAAAGAAAAACCATTTTTTAGAGGAGGAAAACAAAAAACACCAAGGCAAACTGAGAGAGATGCAGGTTGAACGCAACAGTCAGAAGGCCAGAGCTGACAAACTGAGTGAAAAGCTGGGCTTTGTGACCAGCAAACTCAGGGTAAGTGAGCACGAGTGTAAAAAGCTCAAGTATGAGGTTAGCAAGTTGACCGCGGAGATAAAGCGTATAAACTTTGACCTGGAGAAATGCATGGATGTCATTGATGACCCTGCAAAACTGAGGACCCGGGTGATGGGCATGAAGGCCACCTACCCAGAGAGTTACGAGAAAGTGCAGCTTGACGATGAAACCAAGGAAGCGTACGAGGCCGAGATCGGCAAACTCCACCAAACAGTCAGCTGCTGCAGAAGGATCAACCTGCACACCTCCAAAGTGAAGGAGCGTTTGCAGAAGAAGGTCCATACGTTACTCAAAAGGAACTCGAACAGCATGGAATCACCCACTGAAACAACAAAGTCCAAGGAATATTTACAACCTCAGCCCATCAATGATAAACTAACGTCGTCTGTAATTGCCAGCATGGATGACACAACACTGAGCGAAGAGACACTTCCTAAGAAGGAAGAAGAAACTGTGTCAACCGACAGACCCAGCGTGATTGGACCGATGGATAAATATGTGAGAAGAGTTTAAACATTGAGGGTTTTTTATCACCTGTGTTTATTCACCTTTAAAGACTCAATCATGTAGCATCAGATGTTGACAGAGCCGAAGGTCCAGCCTGTATACGTTTACCCACTGAAGTACCTGTAATGTCACTCAATGTAATGCCAGCTGTCACCGTCCACTCTGTGTCCAATTCTTAAACCATCACTCGGTGTTTGACAGCAAATCAGTCATTTCCAGACTGTTTTGAATGCAGCATCATCACAGAACCTGAAACCTGTTACCACAGTTGGATTAGTTTGCGTTACTGATGATAGGACAAGACCGTCGGGACAAGGACCAACCAGAAAGAGACTGATTCAGCCTTTAGGTTTCTGATATTTATTTGAAAGAATGTGTGCTTCTTTTTTATTGTTAGTAAATAATCTCCAGTATAACTGAACCTCGTCCCAAAATGACATTTGAAATGAAGTGTGCATGTTATTGACTGACCTGTTGAGGTACCTTACACAGTGACACAAGGCCAATCGTATTTGCTCCAGAAGAAGGGTTATACATTTACACAGTCATTCCGTTTTTAGAATGTGATATTTATCATACAATCTTAATTATATATCATAATTACACTCCACCAGGCTCGCAATGGTTCCAACCTCAAGGGTGAGTCCCTGCCAAGGAAGCATTTTTAATTGTTTTATGGAACCTCACCTGTTTGTGGTGTCAAACATCTATTTCCTAGGCAAGAGTTCATTGTTGATTGATGGGTTCAATTCAAAACAGCAACGACAGCTACGTCCAGTTTCTTCTAACCTGGTCACCAGTAGTGTCCTGTGGTTACATCTGTAAACTCCAACCCCTCACCCTTCTTCCTTTATGGGTTTTGTCATTATTTCAGTCAAACAAGTGCCATCTACTTTTTATCAGTTAATAAAATGGCTGCCATTAGTCATGGTTTGTGATGGGTTTTCAACAATTCCCATCAGGTGATTAATAAAGTAATTTAGATATTTTATTATTCTAGAAAATCTTTGTATACTTTATAGGCAGATATTGCAGTAGCATCTGGGTGTCATAAACGTTCTATAATTTAAAAAAAAAATGTAATGCACTGTTGGGCTTTCCAAAGTGACAACACCTCAGTGAAAAGTTCACCTCACATCAAAACTCCATCTTGTTCAAAAGTGGTGACATCCATCCTTCAGACTTCCTGTTTGGCTCCAACTCTGTTCTGTCATTTATCTCTATATCAATGTTTAACTTTGTCTTTTCAACTTTAAATTATAAAATACAAACTACTGCATTCATATTTCATTTCTGACTTTATTTTAAAAATAACATTCATCATCAAGTTGTTGTAAATGTTTTAATGTGAATCTGCCGTTTTCTTAACATTCTGTTACCTTAAAGCTGCGTTCTGAACATTTTAAATACATGGTGCTGAAGTCAAACAGTTCTGATTCTAATGTACATTAAACTTCCTCTGACACTGACTCTCCTGTGGTTCTGTCTACTCTATAACACCAGCAGTGCTGAGGTACCCTTCAGCCATTGGGAGGCCGTGTGTCTGGTCAGTGTGTGAAACACCAGTCTGCTGGATGAACTGCTGCAGGTTACACTGTCGCAGCTCCTTATTCAGCTCCTCGATCAGCTCCCATCGGTCCTGGAGGAGGAAAAGAAGGTTCTTCTTAATGCATTTTATTTATTTATTTCTCCCTGTATCTAAACTGAATCATCAACTGAGCCTACTAAATCACCACTTTGACCTGTAGGGGGTGTGGTTAAAAATGATTTCCAAACTATTTTTCTGTGATACCTGTTTCATTCGCTCTGCCACTTGGAGCTCATCCTGCATCTCAGACAACACGGCTTCCAGTTCTTGGCTCTGGGACTGGCGGTGGAGGAGCTCCTGTCTCAGGGGCAGCAGAGACTCCTTCTGCTGCCACGGCGAGGGCTGTGATCTTTGTCTGTGGACAGTACGATGTATGTCGTGCTCCAGATGCCCAGATCGATCTTGGAGCTCCATAATCTGTCCACTGTGATCTTCTATGGATGTGCGTATCTGGTGTAGTTGTCTCTGCATGTCTGTGGATGATCATTTAGCATTTATCACTGAGGATGTACTTGACAATTAAGGATGAAAACGAGCGTTCTGGACAAATACCTTGTTCTCTCTCCATCTCACGCTGCATCTGTTCTTCCCAGTGTGTGCTGTGAATCAACTCTTCCTCATTCTGCCTCAGCTGCTGCTCCAGTTCCTCCAGTTGATCTGAAAACCCTACACTCACACTTGGAACTCTCGCAGCTGACATGTTCTGCTCCCACAGCCATGACTCTCTTTCCAGGGCTTGAACCTGACTCTCGAGGTCCCGTAGTCGCCTTCTCTGCTGCAGAATCTGCCTGAATAACTCCTCCTCGGTGGCATTAGTTTTGAGATCATCAGAGAAAGTGACAGTGGAGGCCGCCGGTGAAGGAGATGAAGTTCTGTTTGCTTTAGCCTCCTGGTAATGTGATGAAGAACCCAAACTGAAAGTAAAAGCTTTGTGGGGCTTGATGAAGAACCTAAACTGAAAGTAAAAGCTTTGTGGGGCTCTGCACCTTTGACAGACTCTGGTTCTGTGGTCCTGGGCAGGGGAAGACGTCTGTTTCTGCCTGGTTTGTCTGGACCCTCACTGAGACTGGAACCAGTCCTCTGCAGAAAGAACTGGGCCTCTGAAGCCAGTTGTCCTAACTGGGACAAATGCTGAAGAGGACTTTCTGTGGCAAGTAGCTGTCTCTCATTTCCACGCAGCTTTAGTGTGAGGGTGTAACGACCAGTCTGCCCTGTGGGTAAGAATCAATTCATTTACTAACTGTACATTTTTCTATATATCTATCTCTCTATATATCAATGAAAGAGTCAAGACAGTTTTCATTTGAGCGTGTCATTGACTTTACAGATTCACCTCAACAGTTACTGGTCTCAACTTTTGGATTTCTATAATTATGTGTCTGATTTTTTCCTGAGAGATTTTAAACTTTATTTAAAACACTCACTCTGTACTGACTGAGAAACTTACCTATTGCTTGTGCAAGAGCTATAACAACATCCTGACAGGAAGTGTGCATCGATAGGCCGCAGACCACTCTGACCACGCCCTCTACCCACACTTTGAGCTCCATTAGACAGGAGGAGGAGTCACAAGTCACCTGTAATGACAGAGGCCGTGCATTAATCTACTGGACTGAAAACTACATGAAAAAGTACAGTTGTTATTTACAAACATAAATCCTCCTCTTTACTGCCATCTATTGGATTATTTTTAAACTGGTCAACGTTTTACACCCAGAAGCATCCGATGACTAGAAAACAGGGCCCTACCACGGCCCTGTGTTAAAGACCTGGATCTGAGGTGGAGGAGGAAGACGGAGGAACTGACGGTTAAATCGTGAGGTGTAAAAATGATGACCTGAGAGTTATAAAATCTAAGGTTGTAGAAAACAATGAAGATCATTTGGTGCAGAGGAATAGCATGTCATTATCGGACAATTGGCGTTAAGGATAGATGGGAAGATAAAGCTGCCTGGAGGAGGACTCCAAAACAGATTTATAAATATGAGCAAGCTTTAAACAAAATGAGATATTTAATGAGGTTTCTGAATATTTACCTCCATTATAATTGCACTTGTCTTATTTGAGGCAGAATAAGATGAATAGTTGAGTAGTTGCAGTAGTCATGTAGGGAAGGTTTTGTGTGTGTTTCATACTTCCATATCACACCTATTGGTTGGAAACTGTAAGGGTTCAGTGTACACAGGACAGAGTATTTGTGAACCTGTGTAATTGTAAATGTATGCACAAACTGTATCCAAGTTTCATACTCTCTGTATCAGTCATTGTTACTCCACAGGCTTGTGCTGTGACTGTATCGCCACCTGCAGATATGCACTGTTTAGAACACTGCTGTACAAATGTACACGCACCTTTAAAGTAAAGCATACATTTAACTGGAGTACACAGGAAACTCATATCAAAGGGTGAAATCTGATACAACAAATGTTTAGAACGTCCTGTCAAAGTGCCATGTTTGCAGACACACACAGGAATGTGGCAGAACACACCAACATTCCTGCAGGTCACACACACACACACTTCATTCTCTTTTTCCATTTTTCCTACCACTTATAAAAAAACCTCATAGTAACCTCATGTAGTACACATACTGTAAAACAGTATTTTTTTTATAGTTTCACATAAAAACCATATACTGTAAGTCACTGCAGAATTCAAAGAAACTAACCAATCAACCTATTATAAAATCCACCTGCTCCAATCCTATCATGAAGTCCATAAGCATCAGTATGAACATACGTGTATTTAAGCCTCTAAAAGATAAAGAAACACATTGTAAGAAGTGATGAACTTCAGAACTCTTACCTGTTAATTCAACTTCCCTGTAGCTCAGTGCCAATGTTTGTCTTTGACTGATGTCGGCAGCAGGTGAGCGTCACCACAACACTCCACTGATACTCTGGAGTGGGAGGAGTCAAGTGCTGGAATGTGGCTCTTCCTGATGAGCAGACGAGCTGATGCCCCTTTTTGAACGTTGCCTGTGTAGGTTAATTGGGTGTGTTTCTCATCTTCTTTGTCTGACCTGAGACTGAGAGTCGCTGTTCAGCAAGTTTCTGTTGTATACTTTTGAATTTGAATAGATGTTTCATCATAAGATGTCATTTCAAGAAGAGAGACATTTTGATGTTAGAATATTTCAAGATATTTCTCATCCTAAAAAAAACAAAGAGGGGTCTAACTGAAGGCTGGGGTCTATCACTTCTGCAGGAGCTTTAGAGATTTGGTATTATTATTATTATTATTATATATTATTAATAATATTGAATTTTCTTGTATCAACTTAAAACCTCCTCGTAAAACAAAACGACTGTCATGTCCCATTCTGCCACTGATGAGGTTTCCATGCTGAAATATTCTGCTTTATTACTACATGTTCAAGTTCAGTTGTAAGATCTCTGTGTGTTTATCTGATCAATAAAGGTCTCAAGGTGAAGACTTGGTGATTTTCTCAGTGTAGGATTTAAACCTTCACTCCTCATCCCAGAGACAACAATCACTCTGCAGCCAAGAAGAATATTCTCCTATTTGGCTTCTTTTTTTTTTTTTTTTCCTTTTTTTTTTTTTTTTTTTTTTTTTGCTATGACGTATGTGTGTGTATGTGCATGTGTGTGTGTGTGTGTGTGTATTATCCTGCTCCATTGGCATGACAGCCACAATAGGGCTGACTAATGCAGAAATAGACTGCAGGCTAAGCTTCTTTTTTAAGAAATGACTTGAAAAGTGAAGGGCACATTCTGCAGCCTACTCCACCGATGTGTGTATCTCCCCCGTCATCTGCTGTTACTCAGACTTGAGTGAAGGGGATTTGAATTATGCACAGCACTCACATAGGCACAATGGAAAGGAAAAGAGGCCAGTATAGAACGACTTTGAAAGCACTCGGTGAAACTGTCAGACCATCACTGAAGAAAAAAAGATTTCCCACATTTTGAATTGTTGTTTATGGTTTAAGGGAGGATCAGTTCAGATATTGGTGGTCATATGGATTTTCTTATCACTGTCAGTGAACGGTCCTGATCAAACCTTTCCTGTTCTGCTTTTGATATATTTCTAACTGACTTTTTCTGTTTGATATTTGATGAAAGCCAAAGTGACCAAACATTTAGACCCTGGTGTCAAACTCATTTTGGGCCCGGGGTCACTTTTAACCTAATCAGATGTTAAGTGGGCCGGACCAGTACAGGCATAACATTAATAACTATAAATAACAATAATAATAATGTTTTCCCTGTTTTATATTGCAAATATGTATATCAGAATGTTCAAAGTAGAACTTATAGCATTGTAAAAAGAATAGGATTCCATTAAGCCAAACTTTTTGCTGCCATCTGCTGTTCAGTTTGGCTCTTTTTCTACTCTGATTAAAACAATGCACCCATCTTCTCTGACTAACACATTGCGCCACTAGTGGATGATTTAGGAACAGCGTGTTAGAGATTGGGTCTTTTATGCATTTTTTTACTTTCAAAATTCGTCAAGTGGGCCAAATTGAACCTTCTAGCAGGCCGATTTTGGCCCGCATGCCATATGTTTGATAGCCCTGGTTTAGTCATACTGTAGCTCGTCTACAGTATGTTACCACAGTCATACCTAAAGGAGCATCACTGCAATTAGCAGGTTACTTGTTATCCACAGGGATGACTGCTCTGGGAAAAAAGCTCTGAACACCTGGTTCTTCTGGTGACTACATCTCCCATGATGATGGTTCCTTTCTGGTGTCATCAAGAGTCTAATTTTCCTACGACAGAGAACCAACTCACTTTTGACCCCATGATTCATCGCCTGAGAAATGTGATAGATAACCCTTTTGTCTCCATGTGATTTAGATCCAGATGACTGCATTTCAGAGAGATATTTAAAAAAAACAAAGACTGCAGCTTTGTGTTATCAGTGCTTTTTATTTTTGTGAACATGTCAGGCGTTCTGACCAATACATCAGTGCTGGTCTCTGAAAAACCCTGTCAGTTTTTTAAACTGTAGGCCGGCCTCCTGTCCTCAGAGGCCAGGGTGATTATAGCAGATTATCTCACATGGAGGTGATTAGGACTGTGCTTTGGCTTTTCAGCTGTGCTGCTGTCCACAGCTGTCAAACAGAACAATGGCCTCTGGGAATCAGACGACAGGTCAGGCTGGAAGAGACACCCATGTGGTATGAATCTAAGACAAAAGTCACGATTGATCCCTGCACCTGCAGGTGGCCGTGTCCCTTATGGAGACTGATGGTTTTACACTCATTAGCAGGAAGTTCTTTTTGGAAAAGCCACCCCATAGCAACAAGGTCCAACAAGGAAATACTGAGTCCCCCGTCCCTCCTGGTCTTTGTTGGAGATCAGATTTGTTGATGAATGAGAAGGGGGAGGCAGAGGGAAGGTGGTGAGTGTAGGGAGGGGTGGGGAGAGGGTCCATCTGTCACTGAACGTGCTCGGTCGAAGAGCTTTTGTTGTGAAGGAGTGATGAGACTGATAGATGGTCGTTGTCACCGACCGCTGCTCTAATCAAGTGAAAGTGTCCCAGTGTGTTACCCCCCTACAGCCCCCGTACACACGCACACACACACACACACTCCCTCTGCTGTATCCTCTTTTCCTTTGTTGGTTAATGCACTGGGTGTATGTCCTTCTACATTTGGGGCTTCTCTTCAAAATCCTAAATCCCACTGCAGCTGGTTTATGTCTTTGTTGTAAATGTACTGTCAAAGTAAACCAAGGTCAGTGTCTCAAACATATAAAGGACTTTTAGTCACCCAGAACTGAACTAACAGTATTGTAAGACAGTTGAGGAGATGGAAAAATGTACTAGATTCAATTGGCACTCTGGGACCTTTTGTCAAGAGTGTACGGATACAAACTTAGAGAGATGTCCCAGCATCTCATACTCAAGTGTTGCTCTGACAACAATATAGATGCCCAGTTTAAAGTGTTTTTATCTCTACGGACTTCCAAACCATGTGGTCAGTCATTTTCTTCCATTTCCATTTACAATCCCAAGATGAAAATGCATTAAAGGCCTGGGATTAGGATACAGACAGTCTGACACTGTCTATTGATTCATTGTCTTGTTTAAATAGCAATAATGGTACTGCTTTATATATGTTCTGAGATTTTAGCCTTTAAATTGGACATTAGATGATGTCATCTGCAGCCAGGCTCCTATTGGTGGGTTCAGCTGTTTGTTCCACCCAGGTTCCTCCCAAATGTGCTCTCCCGTTAACACAAACGGGTGTCATAATTCACAAAGCTATGCTTAAAGGTGAATTTGTGTGAGAAGCAGCCTCACGTCCCCATGAACATCCATCGACAAGGGGTTACTTCGGAAACCAGCAGGTTTTCTGCTTGACTTCTGGGACTTCTATTTTTGTCGGGTGGCTCTGTACATCTCCTATGCGGTGCATCGTTCTAACCTGAAATCCCTAATGACGCAAGTCCTGTGCGCAGATGCGTTTTGTCGTCAAAACTACCCTGTAGATACCTAACAGCGGAAGTGGAATACCGCTTTCTTCAAAATAAAGCAAAAGGTTTTCAATAAGTGTTCCAATCATCCATCCATCCATTTTCATACGCTTATCCACTACCGGGTCGCGGGGGTAGCAGTCTCCACGACCGCCACCCAGACCACACTGCACCGTAACAACCCCCCTGAACCTTCCTGCGGGTGGTGAGTCCACTGGAAGGTACCAGCCGCCCTAACCGGGATTCGAACTTACGCAGGAGGTGAACGCTGGGTTCCACACCACTGATAGACTGCCTCTGGACCAAAGCGCCACAAATGTGTTTCAAACCTTTAATAATAATAATAATAATAAACCTGCACTATGATTTTTAAACAATTAATTTTAATTTAATTTTTAAAGTCTAAATGACTTAACTTTAACTTTAACTAAATGACACACTTAATTTCACTTCTCAGTTCCAATATTTCAGGCACATCGGTAACAAGTTGAAAAAACTCCAGCCCGGTAGGTGGCAGTATTGCGCCTGGAATTAGTTTACCAAGCAGCAAGAAGACGCATGAGATACCTGGACGTCAGCGTGACTTCAGCACAAGTTTGGTGAACAATGATGAATGACGAGATCGGACGTCGATAGAATTGTTTTTTTTTTTGCAACGAGCTTCTTATAACCGTGGGAGTTTAAGCCTGAAGAAACACTTCAGTGACACTTCAGGGGTGTCAGATGACGGGCGTGGTACAGACTAACAGTAGGCCAGATCACCGTGTTCATAAGTCATATCACATGTTGAATGTGATAACTCAACGTGTTACATATTGCTAGTTTGTTGTTGTTTTACAGCATATTGTAAAGCTAAATATATGCTCGAATCTCCTCCAACCACTTGTATTCATAGTATTTATGAATTATAATTACTTGATTAGAAAAAAATATAGAACAAATTATGAATACATTTCTTAAAGAAAACCTTGGAAACGCTACAAATTGAAAGGCAAAATAATTGTAAACATCATACTATTGTATCATAGTAAGATATTTACTTTACAAACGGAAACCAAACAACTTCCATCAGTAATACCGGGTGACTCGAGCTCAAAAGTAAATAAGCAAATAATATAATAATAATATAATAAGAAGAAATGCTTTTTAATTAACGCTTAATGGTTGCAATCGCGCACCCGTGTTCTCGAGGTGGTCACTGCTTCTATTTTGAAAGGGTCAACCGGAAGTGGACATTCACATCTACGCAGAGTGTCATTCGGAGCAGCTGAGCATCGGCAGTCTCTGCTGCTGTCCTGTCCCATCACCAGTTCACACCCTACGGTGCAGCAGCGCACCGCTCCACCGGCACCAGCAGCACCATGACACCCAGGTTTAAACCCGCAATCTGAGAACCACAGGACTGCGCCAACGCTACACCTCCAGCACGCACGCGCACGCAGGGAAGCGAATATTGCAGCGACGAACGGAACTGAACGCCGACGGAGGCGAACTCCACTGCGCCGAAACGCGTCCCACTCGGACACAGTACTCCGTGCGAGTCAGCTCACGGCAGAAACATGTCAACGTCAGGAAAAGAGGCCAACAGCGCGCATTATGCCAACTATGTGGGACCGTACCGTTTGGAAAAGACGCTGGGCAAAGGACAGACAGGTTAGTGAAAGAAGCTCCCAGCTGCGGGTGATGATGATGATGATGACGATGATGATGATGGTGACGATGATGATGATGGTGATGATAGAGATTCGACTGAGTGTTATCCACTCCTGCCTCTCTGACATCATGCTGCCGTGGCGATAGCAAGTAAAGAGATGTCTGATAATTAGGTAGATGCTTGTCTCCTGGATGCAGAAAGGAAAGATGCTGGCATTACTGCTGCTCCTGCTGATGGTGATGATGATGAGGATGATGATGATGATGGTAGTGGTAGTGTTGTGCCTTTAATGCTTGTTGTCAGGCAGAGAGCGAGCTCTATCATAACGGCCCCTCTGATATTTTCTGTCCATAATTCTGCTGTGGTCCATTTATCACACACTCCTGCTCTGCTGCAGAAGAGGCAGCAGTGATGCTGCACTATCCTGTACAACACCCCACCACCACCACCACCACCACCACCCCACACCCCTCAGAACCTCACACATACACTGCGTTCTGCAGCTGCTGCAACCTCACACATCCGTGTGTGTCAGTTCTGCAGTGACCCAGCCGCGGTTCTCTGGACATTTGCTCTGTGAGGATGGTACTAGTTTTTTAGGTGTGTGGTGTGGTTGGTGACTGTTGGCATCACTGTGAAAAAGTACAACATAACTCTTCAGTCAGGGTGGAGAGTGGATCTATGAAGATTCTGAAGTAACCAGATGTTTTTTGGTGCTGTAGTTAGTGGTATATACTGTATAATTGTTTGGGGAACCAGATCAGTAAGATAAGAGACAACACATGTCCCAAATAGATCATTTTAGATTTTCCCAGAACAGTGATGTGGGTTAGTTTGGTTCACCTACTGCTCAGGTCAAGCCCAGATAGTAGACTGCAAGGATGGACTGACACAGCAACAGAACGCTGCACCACTGAGTTAGAGCTTTGATTCAATTCTGTTCCAGAAGAGAGAGCTGACTATCTTTACATTGCTGTGGTCGCAGCTTCATTTTTAAGCAGTGAATCGGAGACTACATACACACAAAAGGTGTGTGTGTGTGAGAGAGAGAGAGAGACAGAGAAAGAGAGGACAGCAGGTTGCAAACTGAAACAATGCAAATATGCATCAATTAACGCCTACATCCCTGTGAGGGGATGTAGGGGGAGCTGAAGAGCTCAGGTGCCTCACGCAAATAGCATGGCTTATGTAACTGAAGTAAGCAGTACTCTGCTGCAGCTAAAAATAGTTCTAAAGACTATTACATGTCATTGTCTACCTCCAAGTTTAATCCTGTTATTTTTGGCGTTTGCCTTTTCTGCCCTGATGGTCGTGTGTCTGCTGAGGCAATTGGCCAAACGACGGGTCAAACTAATGTTCCTGTGCAGTCACAGAGGCATCAAAATTTTGGTTTTTGAATTTCTGTGCCTAAAACAGGTCATGTTTTCAGTCTTTTTGCTGTCATAATTTTGCCATATTTGTCCTCCGGGGGCAACGCGTCTGGATCGGTAGTGCCACTGTCCACATTTACCAACGGATAAAAAAAACAAAAAACTGATCTAATATTTGAACTTTTACACACAATAGCCCAAAAAAAACTAACAGAGCTTTAACACCCTTTTAGAGTAACTAGTGCATAATGTTCCCTTAAAATAGAATATAAAATATTTATTCTGAATACATTTAATGCATAAATAATTTTTTTCATTACATGGAGAGCAGGGCCTCTCTCCTGAGGCGTACAGGTAATAAGGCGTTTAGATTTGCCTATTGTAAACACACACATTATCATTTCTTCCCCTGCACTTGGAGTAAATTGTTCTTCCACAGTTACAGTATTAATTATCAGTAAACCCTGTGTGAATGACCCCTGTCCGGTCCTGCAGGAGCCCGGTGACATCACTAAACATCTCTGCTGTGTGTAGTCTGTGTATTAGGTGTAAGTACAGCATGTGTTTGAGTCACACGGTTAGGGTGAGTGAGGCCAGGTTACACCCACCATCTGTGATCACATGTGGCCAGCACCATCACAGTGTCTCCCTCAGGTTCCTGCAGCTTCACATTCCTCACAGGTGAATAATTTATAACTAAACATTTCCCTGGCAGCTCCAGTTGGATCTTCACAGCCAGTGATGCTGCCGTAATAAACACACATTCCATTCACAGCATGTGGTAGAGCTATGTATAAGACTGAGTGTTTAGGTCGGCCTAATATGAGCAGCATTGGTTACATTCAGTTTGAACAAAACAACTTCTGTGACGAACTGATGGATAGAATCTGATGGCAGAAAAGTTTTGGTTTTTCATATAAAGTGGAATTTGTTTTTCAATACTTTTGCTGGAAG